GGTGTCACTGGCCAGGCAGCGTTTATTATCCATCCCTAATTGCCCAGAGGGCAGTTAGGAGTCAACCACATTGCTGTGGGTCTGGAGTCACATGTAGGCCCAGACCAGGTAAGGATGGCAGTTTTCTGATGAAGGGTCTAGGCCCGAAACGTCAGCCTCTCTGCTCCTATGATGCTGCTTGGCCTGCTGTGTTCATCCAGCCCTGCACCTTGTTGTCAAGGATGGCAGTTTCCTTCCCTAAAGGACATTAGTGAACCAGATGGGTTTTATCCCCCAACAATCGCCAATAGATACATGGTCATCATTACACCCTTCGTTCCAGATTTCAACGTGAATCTGTTGTTGATTGTTGGGAAAAACCCATCTGGTTCACTAATGTCCTTTAGGGAAGGAAACTGCCATCCTTACCTGGTCTGGGCCTACATGTGACTCCAGACCCACAGCAATGTGGTTGACTATGAACTGCGCTCTGGGCAATTAGGGAATGACAATAAATGCTGCCTGGTCATCCCGCGAATGAATAAAGGGAAAAACAAACTTGGAAAGCCCAAGTGTGGAAGGCTATGGTCCAAGTGGAGGGAAAAGGGATTAGAACAGATGGATGGCTCATAGTGGGCTGAAATGTCTGGGGACACTGCCTGCATTTCCGTAGCCCCTGTTGTCAACCCTCAACACCTCGAATCATGTGGCAGAGCCAGACAAGTGGCTACAGAGTTGCGGTGCGGAGGGCAATGGATGGGGTGGGGGGTGGTGTGCACTTGGCGCATAGCAAGATCCCACGAGCAGCAAAACGAGCAGATAACCTGCTTCAGGGACGTATTGTAATGTATTGGATGGGTCACGCGCCTCTCACACTCCCTGCCCTACCCCCACCCCCAAAAAAAACACACCCACCAATGACCCAGAGCACCTCCACTCCACCCAGAGGGGTTTGGGGGTGGGGGCGTGCTTCTCCCAGGGGTGGGACACATCGGACAAAATATCAGTGACTCTACTGCCTTGTTGCCTGGTCAGTCAGCCAGGAAAAGAATTTCACTTTCTGCTTTGGCAGGCGATCTCATCGGGTGTCGGGGTTGGGGAGGGGGGATCCTCCCAGATTCTGAGGGGCTCAACGCGGGGGGGGGGGGGGGGGGGTGGGGTGGTTCTACGTCTCGGAGCAAGGTGGTCACCTGATTCAGACTGAGGTGCGGAGGGATTTTTAACCTCGACTCTACGTTGTTGCATACACCCAGCCCCTCCCGTGAACACCCTGTCCATATCCCACTCCATCCTGCTCAACTCCCTTCACAATCTATCCACATTTTGATCAGGTCACCGCCGACCCGTCCACACTCTCAGAGGATACAGGTCTAGCCTTTCCTCATAAGGCAACCCATTCATTCCAGGGATTAGTTCAATAAACCTTCCCTGAACTGCTTCCAATACAATAACACCCCTCTGTAAGTATGGTGACGAGTCCTGCACACAGCACTCCCAATGTGGTCTTACTAACCCCCTTTAATTACTGAAGCATAACCTCCCTACTTTTGCATCCTCTCACAATGAAACATGACATCCTACTGGTTTTCCCGATTGCTTTGCTGTACTGACAGACTGACCTTCTGTGATTTGTGCACCAGGACACTCAGATCCCTCTGCGCCTCCAAGATCTCTCGCCGTTCAGATAATGCACACCTTTTTCAATACTTCTGCCAAAGCGAACACGCCTCACACATTTGCCACCTGGGTTGCCCAGCTAGCTGAACTCAAAATATCCCTTTGTGGGGTTCCTCAGGCCCTCGTCACAACTCACTTTCTAACCTAGCTTTCCGCCGTTAGCGGGTTTAGCCACTGTCCCCAAGCTTCAATGTTTATCGCTCAGAACTGAGAGTTAAGCCGCAACGTTGTTCCAAAGTCCTGTTGTTCACACACTGCAAATATTTCATTTCAAATTGCAGCCGACACCAAACAAAGCGTTTACTTTACAATCGAGGGGCTATAAAGCTATGACAAGATAAACTTCTTAGACTGCAGGAATCAGCGATAATACTTGCTACAATAAATTGGCGGCATTTTCTCACACAGATGGTGTTGTGAATAGGGAACGAGCTGCCAGAGGAAGTGGTAGATGCAGGTACAGTTACAACATTCAAAAGACATTTGGGACAGGTGCATGGATAGGAAAGGTTTAGAGGGATAAGAGCCGAACATAGGCAAGTCGGTCTAGTTCAGCTTGGGAGACTTGGCCAGCACAGGCGAGTTGGACCGAAGGGTCTGTTTCCGAGCTGCATGACTCTGTGAAAGGGACAAGGTGTAGCTGCTATGAAGGAATCAAAAGCAACGTGTGAATTAACCATCCCTGGGAAAAAGTAACCAATACAAGCTGTTTTTTGGAAGAGAGGAGATAACATTGGTTGATAACCTGCTACCTCGTGACAAAAATTAAGTCTACCTGCCAAAGGAATGTTCTAAAGTAAAGGGGATAATTGCAGGAAATGACAGCTAACCCCAAATGTAACAAGGAACAGGGGAGCTGCTTCTGACAAGGAGGGAAGCGACAGGCCTGAGGTCTCCAGGTAAATAATCAGTATCGGGGCTGAGAGAATCTATTGAATTCTCAGGAATGTCACACCACAAACTTGAAAGAGAGAAAATTGTGTGAGAATCCAACACCAGAAGAAGTCAGTCACAGGACTCCAGCGAACATCTCACCCAGACCCACACTCCTTCTCCATCTTGGTAACCCCACATTTCCCACGGCTAATCCACCCTAACCTGCACATCCCTGGGCACTATGGGACAATTTCCCACGGCCAACCCACCCTAACCTGCACATCCCTGGGCACTATGGGACAATTTCCCACGGCCAACCCACCCTAACCTGCACATCCTTGGACGCTACGGGACAATTTAGCACAGCCAATCCCACCCTAACCTGCACATCCTTGGACGCTACGGGACAATTTAGCATGGCCAATCCACCCTAACCTGCACATCCCTGGGCACTACGGGCAATTTCCCATGGCCAATCCACCTTAACCTGCACACTTTTGGACTGTGGGAGGAAACCCACACAGACACGGGGAGAATGTGCAAACTCCACACAGACAGTCACCCAAGGATGGAATTGAACCCGGGTTCCTGGTGCTATGAGGCAGCAGTGCTAACCACTGAGCCACCCTGCTACCCCTAAGATAAGATTAATAGCCAAGGTCTTTTCCCCATGGATGGGGGACCCTAAAACTAGAGGGGCATAGGTTTAAGGTGAGAGGGGGGAAGATTTAAAAGGGACCTAAGGGGTAACTTTTTCACACAGAGGGTGGTGTGTGTATGGAACGAGCTGCCAGAGGAAGTGGGTGGGGGCTGGTACAGTTACAACGTTTAAAAGGCACCTGGATGGGGATGTGGATAGGAAGGGGTTTAGAGGGATATAGGGCCAAATGCTGGCAAACGGGACTGGTTCAGTTTAGGATAGCTAGTTGGCAGGAACGAGTTGGGCCGAAGGGCCAGTCTCCGTGCTGTACAACTCTATGACTCTCTTTCAAGTCAATCCCATCTCCTTCACCCCAAACTCCTCTCCCCATCTCGCACCACCCCCCCACCCACACAAGATGTCACGCCTAGTGTCGTCGGTGGGTGGGATACTCTGGGGAGGTGGGAATAAATATGTAGTGGGTCTGGATGTTGGGGTTTGTGTGTTATCGGGATCAATGTTTCTCTACATCAGTAAATCTGAGTCAGCCACCTCGAGTATGGGTCAGCAAAGTGGAGAGTGGGGGCCCTGTCTACATGGACTCCCCATCTTGGTATTAATGTTGTCTGACTCTCTGATTTATCTCCAAGGGGTTGAAGGATAAGAGATGGGACGTCTTACTGTAACTGTACGAGGTGTTGGCGAGACTGCACCTGGAGCACCGTGAGCAGTTCTAGTCCCCTTAGTTAAGGAAAGCTATCATTTCATAGGAGGCTGTTCAGAGAGGGTTCACTAGGATGGTCCCTGTGATGGAAGGATGGTCTTATGAGCAAAGGCTAAACAGGTTGGGACTCTCACTCACGGGAGTTTTGAAGAGTGAGAGGTGATCGTGTTGAAGCAGAGAGGATTCTTTAGGAGCCTACCATCACATGACCAGTGACCAGATCATCCCACCAGTGTGCCGCCAACCCCACTCCACGCTGTTTAACTTTTGATCCTCGTCAATGGCCATCCCTTCACCCGCCACCCACACCCCCCACCACCCAAGGTCTCACTTTCACATTCTCTCTTCCCACTTCCAAAGGATTTTGTGACCCTGTCCATCCATCCGAGACCCCCCCACCTCCCATCCCCGAACTCCCAAAGGCCAGGCTCCCACACCCCACCACAACCCACCCCCCTACCCCCACCCCAAACCCCGCGTAGTGGAGATCCGGGAGGGGGTGGGGATTGGGATTAATGATCGGAACGAAGCGTGGGTTTGAGATAAATAAATGGTTCCATAGAGATAGAGCTATTCCTTCTGGTTGGTTG